TTGGAAGCCCTGCTCGCTTTTGTTTCATGTTCTTGAAGCACCGTTTACAACTGTGGACTAAACTGTTCAGCCTCAGTGTCAGAGCTTGTCCACTGTTAGGACCAGGTGTCTCAGGAGTCATGTGGAGGAAGGTGGCAGCAGTTAGAGAGAAAGTCTATGAAGGCAAGGAATTCCCATCTGTGCCCTGGACTTACTCAGTCCCAGGAGACACAGGGTACCTGAGCAAGGAGTGTTTTCATGATGACACAATAAAAAAATGGGTCCAGAGCAACTCCCTACCAGAGACCATGATTGTCTGGGGAAAGAAATTTGGTGTCTGTACCACGACGATTTCTGATCAGTGACTTTAGGAAGGCTATGATGCCCCTCCTACCTATGAAAGATTCAGGGCACCTCTCTCAGGGTTGCATCTGGGACACTGATCCCAGACTTGGAGAAGTGGTCTGTCGCCGAGGACTCTCAGAAATCCATGATCCGTAATCACATGATCTCTGACCAGTGCATTCGATTTCACAGATACAAACTGCAGCATCACCCACAGACAGGTGGAAGATTCTATTGCAATATAATCACTGTACTTCTATTTATAACAAGTACTATATAACAATGTATAATACGAAAAATTAAAAGGAACAGAATCAACATTATAAATAAAACACTTCTTGAGTTAAAGGACTCAGGAAAATTATTTCAAATCAGAAGAGTAGGACAACAATGAAAACACTCAGAGTCTAGAAATTAGATTTCCTGAGGAAATCGAGGTGAACGGGCAGTGGTGAATGCATGCTCCTGTCTATCAGGACAGCAGCAATGGCAAATGGAAACAAAATAAAAGATACATGTGGCTTAAAGTAGGCAGAAGAAATGCAGTCTTATTGTTACCATAATTGTATTTATCAATAAGGACCACAAATTTGCAAAGACCTGTATTTTAAACAGGTAGAGAGGTTTGATATTTTGTTGCAGAAACTTCCAAGGTGACAGGAATAGAAGAGACTTCAGAAGAAAGATGTTCCTGGGGCTGCAGCCTCAGACCTTCCAGATGCCTCAACATATGCAGAAGAGGCATGTTTCCTGCTTTTGACAACCTCAAGTATGTAGGCAGCACCGCAGCCTCCAAGACCTATAGAAGATGCATGTCTGCCCTGAAGGCCGAGGCTAAGACACCCACTCCTTGCTTGAAGAAGTGAGCTGGTTCCGAGGACTCCTAGAGTGCAGTGGGCCATGATTGTTTTCACCACTTACATTTGTAGTCACTGTGTTTCAGGAATGAATCTGTGGTCTCTTTCTACCCAAAGGACAGCCGATGTCCAAATCTACTCCTTTCCCATGAAAAGTGAGGAAGAAAGAGAGGCCTCTGCTAAGGGTCTCTAGTAGCTGCAAGGAGAGAAAAGGACGAGGTTTGTGAACAGGAAGGAGGTGACTGTGCCAGGCTGTGGCTAAGCTGCTGGCACAGAGATACACGGCTGAGTCCCCCTGTTCTGTGCGCTGGATCTTCAGAGTAGAGACGGATCCCTCAGGCATCTCTGCAGAGAACCGATCATTGGGCAGCCCTGATTTGTCTCGTTGAGCGTCATTCTGGAAGTAAGTCAGAAACGCTGGGCCCTGCCCAGGGGCCTGTTGGTACCAGTAAAGGTAATCATGACCCGAAATTGGATCACACCTGAGAGCTACATCCTGTCCCCTCTTCGTGACTTTGTACCTTGGGGACTGCGAGACTCCAGCACCTGTGTGATCTGTGGAAACAGAATTTGGCAACAGAATAAGGAAAACATTTGTAGTCATCACACACACACACACACTCACACACATGTACACGCCTATACACAGGAAGAAAATGAAACTACTTGGTGTTCTGAGGACTCACCTGTCCCTAGGAAACCCAGGACCACCCAGCAGAGGAGCCTGGTGCCCATGGCAGGGTCAGGCCAGGACGGGGGCGTTACCAGATCAGTGTCACTGTGAGCAGGAGTAGAGGATGACAGACGTCCTTGTCCCCACAGGGCAGTTCCCACAGTGACATCACTTCCTCTCTCAATCCCCAGGACCTCAGGGTCACAGCATTTATATTAGAACACACTTGGGTGACGCCTTAAATATTTATAACCTTCTTTTTTAACATCAATGCATGGCTCATCGCTTTGGACTCCAGAGCTGTCTGTACCTGAAGGCCTCACGCTGCATCTCTGAGTTCATCTTCTCATCCCACAGCCGCTCCTCTGTCTGCTGGGCATGTCCTGTAGGATGAACCAACACTGCCCCTAACATAGGGCACAAAGGGGTGAGCTCATGTCTTTCCTCCAAGTCAGGGTCCCCTCTGCCATCCCCTTTCATGCCCTAGCCTCCTCCATTCCCCCAGTCACACGTGCCCAACAGGACTGCCCCATCACATGGGTTCCCTCATGAACTGCCCTCATGCCTTTCTTCTGGGATCATTTCCCACCTTTGTTAACTGTCATTCAGAAAAGATACTTGGATGGAAACTCACAGCGGTCTTTTTTCATATTCCACTTATAAAAGTTGTTTTTAATCAATGTCATCTTAAAAGAAGGAGAATGACAATTGAGCTAATGGTTATTTTTAACCACTATCTTGACTTACTCTTGTTCTCCATCTAACCCTGTGGGCGGTATTTCTCTTTTTTTCTGATTGCTTTCAAAATCTTCTCTTCGTCCCTCAGGTTCTACAATTTCCCTATGACTTGACTATTTGTCTTATTTGAGATTCATTTTGATTCTGGAAACTCTGAATTTGGGTCCTGAACACCTAAAGAATTGTCAGCTAACATCTCATAAATATCACCTCATAACATTCTACCTATCTACCTGTTTGAAACTGCAATTGTATGCAAGAAAAAATGTGAATTTTTGAAAAATATGCATATTCTAATATATGGGAAACATCCATTTTTCCCCCCTGTTCTTTAACTTTTCATAGTTCACTTTTAATTTTCTGTGCTGCATTCTAGATGACTCCTGGAGATCCATCTTTGACATCACTAAAAATCTCTTTAGGAGGTGCCGATCAACTGTTTGACTTTTCATTTTGTTTTCGGTGATTGTGTGAGGCATTCCTAGATACATTATTTGACAATTTTTATGAAAGTTACTTGATGGTTTCAGACATTCTCTTTTTCCTTGTTTCAGTTCTCCCTCATGTTCATTTAAATGTAGCTCTCCAAACTTTCATATCTTATAATGCCAAAATTTCCAGTCTTTGGGTTTGCATTTCAATCTTCTGTTGCATGTGCTCACATTTCCTCATTGCTATCTCCTAATATTCTTCTTACTGGGAATCTGTTTGTTCGATGGTAGTCTGTGACATTCCAGAGAGGCCTGGACTGACAGTGAACAACACCAAGAGTCTGTCATGTTTACAGGCATCTCCAGGCTAACTCGCAAAGGTACGGGCCCAAGAACTGTCTGCTGCACTCTGGGCTGCTATATACACCCACGACATAGGTTGGTAGAGTCAAAAATGCTCTCTGGACAGTCCCAACAAAAGACTCAGAATAGAATTCAAGTTTTCTAATTTTTTAAAATAAATTTCATACACATATAGACCCTCTGGGTGGAGGGAGATATCCGGCACAGGATTAAAAGAAAAGTTAGTAGCCAGCGTCTCTGGAACATCTACATACAAACTGTGTCCACATTCACCTGGGCAGCACAGGTGTCCACGGAGAAGAGTCCAGGGACTGCGGCAGGTTGAGGCAGTTGTGTGATCCAATGCCTTAATCTCCGTCCTGTGCTGGACTGTGTTAAGTCAACTTTGCAAAGGCAAGAGCCTGCCTTTCCCAGAATGCCATTTCTCTTACCATTCAGGGTTACAGATGGTCAAGGTACATTTGGTAAAATTTGGAAGACAGATGAAAAGCAGTCACTATTATTATATTTGGCAGGTCATTGTGGTCAGACAGTGAGAGTCTGTGACCAGAGGATACAGAGGCATCCAACAGACCTAGGAAGTCCTGTTCCTTCTGCACCCTGTATCCAGTTCATCTTCCCAAATGCTGGCCAACAGCAGCCAGGCTGCCCCCAGTGTTTGCAAGTAAACCTGCAGGGGTGGGCCCCATACAGTGGGTACAGCTTCCCCAGAAGAAGGTTTCCCTGGACTTTTCCTGTGCTCCCAGCTCAAGGTGCCACTGCATGGCCTGGCATGCTCTGATCCTCTCGTGTTCCTGCCGCTCAAGCCTGTCCTGCCCAGACCTCCAGAAGCCCTGGCTACTGACTGGCTCCCTCAACTTCTGACTTCTCTCCTCCAGACCTTCTTTTCCTCAGCTCCTCCCACATATGCATAAAGTCTAATTCTGATCATAAATCTGTTACACTCCCAAACTTGTAGTAGCCCTGTTTTATTGATGCAAACCTAATGGAGATTTTCTTACCAGAAGTGATTTCAAGGAACAACCTTTAAGGATGGAATTCTAGAGGTAGATCTCTGATCCGTCTCGATTTGTTGTGGGGAAAGACCCTGAAGGAGAGCACAGAGACCTGGAGGAGGTCAGGTGCTACAGCCACAAGAGGAAGCCTTGAGCCAGGTGTGGACGCCATGATAGTGATTCCCCATCAATTTCCAAGACTGACCTGAGCCCAGCAATCAAAGGGGTGGGATTTGTTGTACTTAATGCTAGATCTCTGCCAGGTTGCAGTAGATGTAGCATGTTTTTATTATTGGTTCATCCACCCACTCATCACTCACTCAGCCTGTCATCCACTCATCCATTCTTTGTGAAATGGTTCTCCCTACATGCCAGACACCAATGTTGGTAAAAGCAGCAGGCACAGCCTCAGCTCCCATGGGCTTAAAAATTAGGTAGAGTTAAAAAATAACCAGATAAGTATCTGAAAAAGCCCAACTGTGCTAAAGGTTACTAACAGACACATGAGTCTACGAAAGCTTATGAGAGGAAAGTTGATCTCAGCTGGGAGGGGAAGGAGTGCTTCCCACAAGAGGGGCTGATTGCGCTGCGATCTGGAGGACAGGTAGGAGCTGGCCACTGCAGAAAGGAAGCCTCCAGCCAAGTGCGGAGGAAATGGGCTTTGAAGTCTCTGTGATAGGAATGAAGGAGGCACAGGAGAGGCTCCCCTCATGGCTGCAGTAGAGAGCGGCAGGGAGGTGGGGGGAGGAGAGACCCAGCAAGGCCTTGGAGGGTGACTGCCCAGATGGGAAAGGTGGGCCACAAGAGAGACAATGTGAGGGTGGGGGGCTGGGGGAAACCCTAGAGAGAGGAAGCAATAAGGTCACCAGAGAGAGACGGGAGTCTTGATGGATCTGAAATACACATCCTGTTTTATCCAGGTGGCCTCGGACTCAGGATAATGAGTAGAAAAGTAGGAGCTGGGGAAGCCCTCACCCTACCCCAAAAGGAGAGCTCTGAGAAAAGAACAGACAGAGCAACAAACGAGACATCTGAGGACCTGGGACCAGTCCAGGCCTGGCTGAGACTGCCTGCAGAGGCACCTGGCACAGAGCGAGGCTCATACTGCCTGGGCCACTTGGGGTCATTCGGGGTTCCAAGGACTCTGGTGTAGAGAACTCTGCTCAGGGCATCCCTGAGTTTTGGGTGAGGGAGGAGGGCAGAGCCTGCCTGGCTTTATGTGCAGAGAGGAGGCAGCCTTGTAACGCTGTGGAGTAACTGCTGGCACAGAAGTACACAGATGTCTGGGAGGGAGCAGCCGACTCCAGTCTGAGTGGGAAATCCTCTGTGTTTGATCTGGTGACATTGTAGCCATCGGGGACTTCTCCTTTGTCAGTGCTACCTTCACCAACTGAGTAATGAATCAGCCTCAGCCCCATGCCTGGGTCTTGTCGATACCAGTACATGCAGTCATGGTTCATATCCTGGGCACACTGCAGTGTCATGCTCTGTCCTGTTTTCAGGATCTGGAATTTTGGGGTCTGAGTGACACCAGCATTCACTGGACCTGCAGAGAAGGAGAACAAAGATGATGCTGCAGCCCTAGTGGGAAGGCACTGAGCCTTGAAAGCCACACAAGGGGCCCTGCCCAGGACCCACCTGCCCACAGGAGACAAAAGGCTGCACAGCACAGGATGCTGATGCTCATGGTAGATGCTGCATGACGGAGGGGTCTTCTGGGTCTGTGCATTGATGAAACGGGAACAGGACTCTCAAGGGAGTCATTCTGAGACCTCATTCTGCCTGCCTGGGCCCCAGGGAGGGAGAGGCCAGGAGAGGCCACGCCTCTTCCTCAGATGGTCAAATCCAAAATAAATGCACCAGTGAACAGCTGAGAATGAGAAGAACACATTTGTCTGAATTGAAACAAGTCTAAAAGATTTTCATGACCTTTTGGAAACAGTTTGTAATTCAATGTAAATTTTATTTCTTCAATGATATAATTAACATTCTAGTGTTAGTTATCTACATAGTGCTGTAGTCTAGAGTCTTAGGGAAACTCCTCATGTCTTCCTGGTGTTTTTGACTCCTGTGTCCCAAATACTCCTGCAAGTATCTTTTTCTAATTTGCTTAATTGACCATAATCCTGTTTAAAATCCTTTGTCTATATTGGTTTTCTCTGTTTTCAAGTTTCCAAATCCCAGGGGCAGGCTCATCAACATTGGAGGAGTTGTTTTGCTCTGTTTCTTGTCAATTCACTGACAGATGGGACTCCTGAGAAACCCAGCTGAGCACCTTCAGCTCCACCCAGGGCCCTTCATTTCCATGCCTGGGGTGAGATCACAGCAGGCAGAACCACCTCACGCTGCTGACTACCTTCTATGTGTGGACGATGGTGGCCACCTAGCACTGCCCATGACCTGTGGACACAAAGGTGGCCTTATGCATGAGGGACTCAGGGAGAGAGGGCAGACTTTAGGGTAAGGAAGAGTGCTCTGTTTGAATTTGAGTTGTCATGTTTCATAGGGGGTATCCCTTTGTGCGGGATTCCTGCCATTAATTTAGTAATAAATTAAAAGGAGCTCAAATAACATATCTCGGTGCACAGAGTCCTACACTTATTAGGACACCACAGTCAGGATAACATTGTCATGTTCTTCAAATTCTTACCAATTTTTGAACAAAGGGGATGCTAATAAGTTGTATGGCTGGTTCTGAGTACATAATTGTGTTTCATATTCTGCTCACCTCCCCATGTGCTGTTTTCCTTTTTAGCACAAGCACATGACCAGGGTCTGGGTCACTCAGTATCAGTGGGACTTTGGATCCCATCAATGGGACTGTGTTCTGTGAAGAACACAGAAGTTAAAGTCACAGCAAAGGACCACCTGGTACTATTTACCTGCAAGCTGGGGTCCAACAAACCAATAAGTGGATGCCACATATGTGATCAGTATTTCTCCGGTCCAGAAAACAAAGAGACATACGGCAAAAGAGCCTCGTGCCCAGGCAGTGCCAGAACAGAAAGGGGAATTTTCTAGCTCAAGGCTCATGTTTTATGGGTTGGACACTTGGGGTCAAGGAAGAGAGAACCCTTCTCTCAGTGTGACATTATCTGTCAATGGAGTCACCATTGCACATGGTGCGCTTGGTCCCAGTGTACTCTATGTGCTCAGGAAGCAGAGCTAAATCACAGCTAAATATTGTCCGATGGAAACTCAAAATAATGTTCTCGGAGATTGTTAGTTTTTGTCAGAATATCATCATAAAATAATTTAAGTGAATGAGTGTATGAGAAAAAATAATGAAAATGAATGAACAAATTATGTGGAAACAGCCTCTTCCAGCTGGGAAGATTTATGATGTCATTTCATCATTTTGTCTATCTCCAGGCAGGATTATCCCTAACATGGATCAGGTATCTCTCAGGGTTCTGGAAGTGTTTGAAACCCTTCTAAAGCCATAAAAATCTTTTCTTCTAATTTTTTAAATTTTACTTTAAGTTTTGGGATACATGTGCAGAATGTGCAGGTTTGTTACATAGGTAAACATGTGCTACTGTGGTTTGCTGCACCCATCAACCCGTCATCTAGGCTTTAAGCTTCGCAGGCATTAGTTATTCCCCTTAATGCTCTCCCTCCCCTCACCCTTTACCCTCCGGCAGGCTCCAGTGTGTTTTGTTCCCCTCCCTGTGTCCATGTGTTCTCTTTGTTCAACTCCCACTAAGTGAAAACATACGGTGTTTGGTTTTCTCTTCCTGTGTTAGTTTGCTGAGGATAATGGCTTCCTGCTTCATCCATGTCCCTGCAAAGGACATGATCTCATTCTTTTTATGACTGCATAGTATTCCATGGTGTATATGTGTCACATTTTCTTTATCCATTCTATCATTGATGGGCATAGCCATAAATATATTTAGGAGCACCTCCCTCTCTTGAATATTTACCTGTGTACTGAAGAGGAAGTGTTTTAATAGTTAGAGATTGTAAATTTCCATTAAAAATATACCTGAGCAAAACTGTTTTCTAGTGATAAATATCACTGGTTGTCAGGGATGGAGGGAGGCGTTGCAGAGAGGAATGAGAAAACTCTCTGCGTGATGGAAATGTTCGACATCTTAACAGGGGTGGGGATTAGAAGGGTCTATACACATATGTTGCTCCAAAATCACTGATCTGTTCATTTAAAATGTGTAATGTTTATTTAATCTACATATTAATAAAATTGGTTTTTAAATATCTGAGGAGATATGTATGCTACATACTTTAGTTAATTTCATGTAAAGAATAATCAAGCATATATATTTCCACTTCTGTGACTTCTAAGTTCTCAGCTTAAGATTTCTAGGCAGAATGTGTCTGAATCTGCCTTCGTGCATGGCGAGGGTGGAAGAGGCTGTCTGAGATTAACAAAGGGAATCAAGATATTTAGATTCCTATTATAGGCTAGATATTTTATGATACTAAATTATGTATACGGCCTTATAGATGGACTGTATTCATCTCATTTTATAGATTAACAAAACAAAAAGCAAACTAAACCTAACCTGTCAAGAGCTGGCCTCAGGTAGCGATGTGGTGGTGTTAGAGTGGGAGTCAGGGCTGGGTGTCATGGCGTCTTTTCAGAGTTCTTTCCCCACACTGTCTCCAGGATTAAATTCACCTCTGTCTATGATGTTATTGGAGCCAGCAGGTCTGAAAGGGATGTAGAGAGCAAATACTCTGATTTTGAAAGTTAGGCATCGCTCTTTATGAAAATGCCTTATAGCACAGAGCTATAAACACAGGGACCAGAGACTGAAGGTCAGAGCTGGACCCCCAGTACTGCATCCTAATAGCCATTTAATGTGCTCATGTTATTGAACCTGTGGGTCAATTCCCTCCTCTCTGTAAAATGAGAATAGCATTTGTGTCTTAAGGCTTTTTCTGACAGTTGAATTTCTAATTAACTGAAATTTTGCAAATGAAGGACTTCTATTTTGTGCATAGTAAAATGACAATAAAGGATGGAATTATGGTTTTTTTCTGTGTCTTCTCCATGCAGCATAATTGAACCATAAAGGTGCATTGATGTACTCAGAGCCTGCACCTCTGCAAATGACCCTGCCAGTCATGTGATGCATGGTTTTATAGAAACAGTCAAATACTATGCATTTATTACCACAGACCTTAAATGTGTTATATACACACAAGGAAATAATACCAAAAAAGAAGACAATCTAGCCATATGTGGCAATGTGGATAAACCTGGAGGACATTATGGTAAGTGAGTAAGCCAGACACAGAAAGACAAATACTGCATGACTCTTTTTTTTTTGAGATGGAGTCTCACCCTGTTGCCCAGGCTAGAGTGCAGTGGTGTAATCTCAGCTCACAGCAACCTCCACCTCCCGGGTTCAAATGATTCTCCTGCCTCAGCCTCCTGAGTAGCTGGAATTACAGGCGCATGCCACCATGCCCGGCTAATTTTTGTATTTTTAGTAGAGGCGGGGTTTCACCATGTTGGCCAGGCTGGTCCCCAACTCCTGACCTCACGTGATGTGCCCACCTCGGCCTCCCAAAGTGCTGGGATTACAGGCATGAGCCACCACGCCTTTTTCTACTTTTATGAGGCAACCTAAATACTCAAAAACTCATGGAAGTAAAAACTAAAACATTGGTTTCCAAGGGCTAGGGATTGGTGGAAATGGGGAGTTGCTGTCAACAGGTGCAAAATTCCCAGTTAAGCAGGATGAGGAAGTTCTAGAGATCTACTGTACAGCCTTGTTTCTGTGGACTACGACACTCTGCTGTATACTTACAAGCCTGTTAACAGGATAGATCTCATATTAAATGTGCTCACTAAAATTTTTTTAAAACGGTAGTAAAAGGAGGTAGGTAACTAAAGAGAAAGATGTTAAAAAAGGACATTTGTATAATTCAGAAACATTAAAGTACTTTGAATTAGCAAAATAATTTAATAAATACATTTCAAAATAATTCAGTAAATACATTTCAATATTAACTGCCTTAATACTGTCAAAGGCAAGAAATGTACTTTTTTAAAAATTGTCTTATCTGTTTTTCTAAATTTTATTTTTTGTTTCGTTTTTAAATTTATGTGGCACAATCCCTTGTACAAAGCGGGGGCTTAAAATGTTTATGAAATCAATAAATTAACTAATGAATAATAATGATTTGTGTCTTTTCCCTCATAATAAATTACATCAGGTACAGGAAAACTACACTTTCCTTTAAAAACATCCCATTCCCTTTTCTGTGCACTGAGAAAACTCTCTCCTCACACAGCCTTCATTAAAGAGATCACCTGGCCTCATTCATAGCACAGCCATGGTGCAGAAAATTGCACCTCTCTTTTTTGTCACAATGAAGGATGAATGAACATGGTTAGCCTGGAAGTTGTATGTTCCTTGGACAGCAAAGAGACTATAATGATCATATATAATGCCTACTTTCTCTTTCTGCTAATGGGGACCTGGAAAGGGAAGGCCATGTGAGATGACAAATCTGCAGAGTGGGGACAGTGGGTAGAGGTGTTGGAGGAACAGACTTCAGCCAGTTATGTTCTTTTCAATTAACTATTTATTGATACATATTAGATGTACATATTTTTTAAGTAGATGTGATCATTGATACATTAATATAATCAAATCATGGTCATTGGAATAGGTATCACTTTAAATATTTGTCTTTTCTTTACCTTAGGAACATTTGAATTATTCTCTTCTGGCTATTTGGAAATGCACAATTGGTTGATGTTAACTACAGTCACCTCACTACTGATCTATCCAACGCTAGGTCTGGTTTCTTCCATCTAAGGGTATATGAGACCCAGGAAAGCTGTTTTGGTCAAAAGTATGCACAGTTAGTTAACACTTATTTTGCATGACTTCTGTCAGAATCAAAACAGATCTTATAAAGAAGCAGCAGAGGTAACTTGGGAAAGACCTGTTGGATCACCAGATCCTGAGTCTCTCTGGCTGCCAACATCCCTTTCGTGGTCTTTTTCTGAGTGGAGGCAGGAATGTTTTGGCATTTTCATAGGAAACTTGCCTTTCTATTTACTTCCTCTGCAGGCCATCCTTTGCCCACTGTACCCTTAGGCGGGTCCCTGGCTCTGCTACCTGATGTATCATTCCTGCCCTGAAGGGTCCCAAAACTAAAGGTGGAGCAGGTGGAGCACAGTGTCCACATGTCCATGTCACACCTTACTCCGCCCACCGCTGTCCCTGCCCTGACACTGATTCCCAAGCCCTTGATGCCCCGGCCCCTTCACCGTCCACTGGCCAGACAGACACAGAGATACTCTCTTGTTGGTACAAACTGAGGCCTTTCACACCCCTACCCTTCCCTGGACAGTGAGAGGTCTGTGTTTAACTCAGAACCCACTCTGAACTCAAATGGCCCCCACCTGATGCTAGCAGGCAAGCTAGGCATTCTCTTCAGCCTTCCTCTTCTGGGTCACCTGCCCTCCCCTCTCCAGGGTTCCCAGCAGCATTGCGGAGACACAGCGCCTCCAACCCCCACCCTCTCACATACACCCTCTCTAAGCTTTCCCAGATAAGCCAGTTTAGGGTTAATGTTTAAATCCTCCCTTAGCCAGTGGAGACAAAAGTGTGCATTAACCATTTTGATTGCAAAATTAATAGTTGTTATGTCATTGCAATTTGTATGATAACGTGGAAGAGAAGAGCCTGAATAAGACAAGGCTTAGAATTAAACAGCGTGAAGATATCCAGCAGAATGATCTTGGAAAAATACTTAATATCTCCTTTTGATTTATAAGATGCATGTGTCTTCACATTTTGTATTTAGAGTCATTATTACCAAATATAGTGCATTTAATAAAAGGGGCTTCCAGTTTTTACATATTTGATTCTGAATTTATAAAAAGTTTTGAAATAAACAACCCTATTGGCTATAGCTTAGGCAGATTGAGTGGTCTGACGTTTCCCATCACTAGCCAGAAGTGCCTACGAGCTCCCCCCGTGACCCAGTGCCTCTTAGTAATGCAATCCAAAGATAAACTATTTTCATGTGGATGAATCTGCAGGAGAAAATGCACACACATACACACACACAGACACAACACACTCACAAATACACTCTTACACACACACACACACACACACACACACACACACGGTATCTTCTTATTGCAAGGATGATAAGATTCTCTTACTGAGCACAGCCAATTTTTCTCTCAGTGTTTTAGGTTGGTTTCTGGGATGCACCCCTGATAATGTTTCCAGACTTACAAAGATGTGGTTTTGGAAAAGCGTGGTTGTGGTGAGGAATTTCTTTTACTGGATCATGGGACTGGATAAATATTATTATAACATAAATTTCTTTGTTGCAAATGGACATTTGTGAATTCCAGCTTTAGATATAATTATGGTACTGGGTAGTACTGCTCATTAATCCTGATTGGGAAAACACATTTGCTTGGAATATTGCAGAAATTGTATGGAAAATTGAGTCAAGCCATAATGACTCTCCGTTATATTTCAGGTAAAAGGAGCCCCTTTTGAAGGGAAAACAGTAATAGATAATATTTCAGAGCTCTGTATAAATGGACATTAATTTATTCATTTCACAAACATCAAGTAGTATCAATTATATAACTGAATTTTCCTCTGAATGTAAAGGAAAGAGAATGATACACTACAGTACCAGGGAATGTCAGGGTAAGAAGCAAAGAGGAAGGGAGATGTGAGTCAGTCCTTGATAGATGAGCAGTGTCTGGCCCTGTTTGGGGAGAATACAGTTTGTTCCAGGCTGTGGAAATAGCACAAATACACAGGATGTTAAAGCCTGTAAAAGCTCGAGAGCCTGTGCTTTCCTAACCTGCTGTATTTCCTGCACAACCACACTTCCCTTTCTCTACGCAGATGAACTTTAGAAGACATGGGCCCTGGGAAAGTGGGGTGAGCTGGATCAGAGGCTCTGGAAGCTTCAAACGTCTCCATTCCTTGTACCATCTGTCAGTATTTAATTTTTTACCCCCATTCTTGGCAAATGCTAATTTTTTTAAAATAATGTTTCTAAAGTGATCATATATTTTGTCATTTTTGTAACACACAGCACTGCCAATCAGGCATGAGATGAGCCTATAAGTTAATTTCATAATTTCGCAGAACTTTACTATTATTTCATCTCAGCAAAGATGTGAGTCAATTTCCTTATCACGTATAGCTTGGGTCATGTGCATAATTTCCTGTCATTTTCAAAAAATATTAAAAAGAAATTGAGGACCTCGATATTATCTTTGAAAACCTTAGGTTAGGGACTGCTACGCTAGCCAGTTCTCACCTCCTAACCTCTTTGTCTCTCTTTCCATCTATGATCCCTTGATTCCCCTGGAGCTGTTCTGTCCAAAGATTCTAAAGATAAATTGAAATTACCAGATGATTTTATTATTTCTTACACGGTCTATCTGTAGTCCATTCCAGAACAGCCAGCTCTGAACAATTTTGTTTTCCATTTGTCTCTTCAAATCTATTTATTGATTCACTGATTCAAAACATGTGATTTTTAATACCTTCCTTGTCAGATATACAATGTCAGGATTAATGGATAAAACGTCCAACAAAGTCCCAACCCACAGAAAGCTCAAAGCTGAGAAAGATATGCATTTATTTAGTAGATATTTACTATAATCATGGAAGCAATTCTTAAAAACACTGTAGGTTAAAAAACTAAAAAGTGAGGAAGTCAAGAAAGTGAGGAGCCAAACCAATGTAAAAATGGTCTATGTGATGAGTAGTCATTAAGAATGATGACAAGATTAGTAGCAGACAGAAGGATAGAATGAGAAGAGAGTTCTGAAGGGAAAGAAGCAAGTGCAGTAAAGAAGGATCCTGTTCTCACGCCATGTGTGTAAAGGAGCTGGGCTTCAAAGGAGGAAGGAAAATGATCTGGAGGCAGCAGAGAGAAGCCCAAAGAGCAAGGAAGACACCAAAACAATATATAAACACAGAGTAGGTCTCCCGATGTACATTAAAGAATACCCTGAATTTCATTCCGCATCATTCTAATCTTGAAAGTCTTGGCCTTTGAATAACAAAAATAGGACAGTGACAAGTGAAACCTGGGCCTCTATGGAAGAACTCAAGTAAACCCAAATTGTCTTGGGCAGACAAAATACAGGCACATTTTGCAGCAGTTGCCGATGATACACTGATAGGGGTTGAGAAATAATCAGTATGTAAATACTACTAGAGAAGAAAGACATTATAACTCTTCATGATAAATTGTGAGTGCTGTGTAGAAAAGTGTGGCATAAACCAGAAAAAAAAAATATATACAGATTTGGCCGTTCAGGACGCAGCATCAGGGAGGAAAGAGGGCACAGTAAGACTGGCCAGGCCTGTGTATGTTTTTTAACTTTATTTATTTATTTTTTGCGTGTGATTCGGGGTCTTACTCTGTTGCAATGATCATGGCTCACTCCAGTCTCGAACTTCAGGGCTCAAGCAATCCTCTCAACTCAGCCTCCTGAGTAGCTAAGGCTGCCATACCAGGCTACTTTTTAGTATATATATATTTTTAGAGACAAAATCTCATTGTTTCCCAGCCTAGTCTTGAACTCCTCACCTCAAGGGATCCTCCTGCCTCAGCCTCCCAAAGTGCTGAGGTTATAGGCATGAGCCACCATACCCGGCCCTGTGTGCTTTTAGACAACCTATGTATATTCATATTAATAGTTCCAGAACAGGCAGTGGAGGAGATCTCATCAGTGTCCTGTGAGTGCACACAGACCTTTAGCTAGCACCTGGCTTGCCTTATGCAAGATAGAAACAAACGGATCCCTGTAGGCCAAGAGGGGTAGCTTACTTCTAATGTATTAAACTGCCTGTATTATTCACATTGAAAATCTCTTTAAGTGTAATGTAAAAATCCATGTATAAATGTTAAATTGAAATTAGCATTATAGAGGGATGTCCACAATCATAGAAAAGAACTTTCATTTATAATAAAGAGCACTTGTCGGGGAAATTTCTGTTCACGGCTTAGAGTGAGAAGAGAGTGAAGTGGGCAGAGTAGTTCACAAGACGTAGCCATTCTCAGGAGCTCCCACTGTTTGGATGGGGGTGGCAAATATAGGACGGCAGGGAAACCTACAGTGTGGGTAATTAAGGTTTATCTTACCTGTGTGTGAGTTCTGACCCCACATACCATTTGTGAGAAATTTGCAAAACGCGTTTTCTATATTATCTCCTACACAAGATTTTGTATGTTGATATTGTATCATCTTCTGTCTTTGCCATGCTCCAAACCCACTTAATTATTCTTGTGGGGAGGGTGACGCAGGAAAGACTGCCCAGGATTGCTGGGAGCTGTGGGGAAAAGAGGAAAGCACCAGAATTTCTGCACAGGGCGGGGGAGATTCTGCAGTGCTATGGCTAAGCGACTTGCACAGACACACACGGCCGAGTCCCCCTGCTCTGTGGGCTGGATCTTTCGAGTAGAGAATGGTCCATCAGGCCTCTCAGCTGATAATCGATCCATGGGCATACCTGCGTCATCTATAATAGATCGGCTCCAGAAGTAACTCAGCAATTCCAGTTCCTGCACGAAGGTCTGTCTGTACCAGAAAAGGAGATTGTGGCCTAAAATTGGCTCACATCTGAGAGTCACTGCTTGTCCCATTTCTGTCACCTCATGCTTGGGTGACTAGATAATGCCAACATCTGTGCATGCTATAAAAGAAGGCAAAATTAGGAAACAGAATAAGGAAAACACAGGAAGTCATCTAGACAGAGGCCCAGCATGAGGATGATAAATATGTGAGGACTCTCTCGCTACCAGGATACAAAGGGACACGCAGAGGGTCCAGGAGTCCATGGCAGAGTGAGAGCAGATGTGGCACATTCCAGACCAGGGCCCTTATGAACATGAGCGAAAAAAGATACTTTGGGACATTTTACCCCCACAAGACCCATCTGTCAGTGACATCACTGAATGGGCCACCACCCCCAACTTGAAAGCTCCTTTAAGGGGAGGCTACATTTTTGGGAGATGAATCAGGCAGGACTGAAGTCAGCTATAATTGATCTGAGATACAGATGCACATTTGCAGACGGTCCCTGTAGATTTGCTTTGATATCGTCAATTTATAGCACCTTCTCCATAACATCCCTTACCTAGGAGCCTGCCAACTATATCCACCTGCACCTCAAGCTCCAAGTATTTAAAGATGAACTCATTGCCTTATTGCAAACCAACTTCTCTGCAAACTCTCCTGTATCTCTCACTGGTGGCTCTGTGCTCCTAGTTCTTCAAATGCCCTTAAATGAGTTAGAAGTTAGCATCTGAGTTACCCAGGAAGAGCAAGTACGTCAACTGCATTGTTAAAGATACGGGAGCTGGATCGGTGTCCCGAAAGCTCATTAGATTTCAAAGCTCTTCTTTGCAGTGAAGGGCCTCTCTGAGTTTATTGATCCTTGAACTTTATTGAATTTGCAAAGCCCAGAGCACAGAATCTCTCACATTCTCTATCCACACAATAAATCAGAAGCAAGATTGTCTTTTTCACAAAGATTTGGAAATTAAATGCTCCAGAGTTGATTTACATCTTATTCTTACCTCTAGCAAAGATCAGCATTTCTTAATCTCTACACCTGGCCTTTTTCTTATAAAAGAATCTTGCATCTCACTAACTGACTTCCTCTCAGGGTGTAGAGTGTACACAGCTGAGAGAACCCCTGCTCTGTGGATTGGTCAACTAGGTTATTTGCTAATGAAGAAGGAGCAGTTTAAGGTCACGTTTTCGCTGTTGGCACAGAGGCATACCGCTGAGTCCACTGCAACCCAGGGCACTTGCCAATCCTAAGGAGCAAATAGTTGACAGATGAGCTTGTGTGACCTGAGGTGTCTGTTTCCTTGTGGGTTCCATCCCTTTGTTGTGTGTGTTAGATCCAGAATGTAAAACAGTGGTCATCAATCAGTTTTCAAGGTGACCAATGTGTTTTCCTCCCTGTTACCAGGTGCCTAGGTTTGGTAGGCAGAACGATGGCCCTTCAACTATGCCCAGGCCGAATCCCTGGAACCTATGAATGTGTTGAATTATCTGATAAAGGGGAATTAAAGTTCCTCTTGAAGTGAGGTTGCCAATCAGCTGACTTTAATATAGAGGCCCAATGTAATCACAAGGGTCCTAAAATATGGAAGAGGGGGGGTTGAGGGTTGGGGTTCGGGTTGTTGCGAGTTGGGCAAGGGTTCGGCCGTTCTTTTTTGTTTTTGAGGTTTGATTGGGTTCTTGGGCTAAGGACGCTTGTTGCCTTTTGGAGGTTGAAAGGGGGGGAAAACAGTTCTCCCTGAGAGCCTCAGGAAGGAATGGAGCCCTGCCAACACCTGGATTTTAGCCCAGTAACATCCATTTTGGACTTCTGACCTCCAGAACTGTAAGGTAATACTTGTGTGGTAGTAAGCCACCAAGTTAGTGGTAGTTTGTTACAGCAGCAATAGAAATTGAGTACCTTGTAGCAGCCATGGGACTCATGGGAGAGAGAGGCAGAAGCTGGATACAAAATACTGGTAGAGTCAGATACGCGATCACATGGAAAAACCTGAAATCAAGCCAGGCGAAACAAACCAACAAACAAAACTTTTGTATGCCCAGACCCCACCTTCTTCCAGGGACGCAGAGGCATCTGGAGTAACAGACTTAGAACTAGATTGGGGCATTTTCCTGCTCAGAGCAAAAGTTCTTGGGGGAGAAAATTCTGTCCTACTCCACCCTAAGCCTTGCTAATAAGTGTATATGCTGCTGGTAGCATCATTGTGATTGAAGCTCCCTGAGGACAGGCTCCCTCTGACATGGTCCAGGATAGCGCCTCCAATTCTACCTGCTCTTCCCTCTACACATTCAACAGAACAGGTAGGGCTGACCTTGGTTGGCTTGGGGCCAGGCTCTACAAGGCTCCTGTGACACAAAAACTGCTACTCTGCTTTCCCCAGCCCAGAACACAGGTGCTGCACCACCCCAGCTCCTTGTTCCTCCATGTCTTCAGTGAGCTTAGAGGTATATCCACTTGCAAGCACACCTGCCAGTCAGAGCCCCACTCAAATTTCAATTTAGAGCAAAACCCAACTCCGCATCAATAGAGGCAAAAGGGTTGTTCTCTAATCCCTCTATCCTCAGCCTTCATTGCAGACACCTCCAACCCAGCTCCCTGAATCTAGGTCCACCTCCAGCGTTTTCATTAAGGATCCTCCATCCCCTCCCCCATAGACTCCGGTTGACAATGGAACCACAGTGCCTCCTAGTGGCCAGTAGGCAGGAACAGCACAAACGTGCTCTTTGTCAAGACAGAGGACTTGCGCTTTCCTTGATTGAGCTGTGGGGAAACGAGATATCATAATTTGTTGGTGTTGGAGGGTCTTAAAACGATGTTATGACCTAAGATGAAACCTCCTGAGAGATGGACATTACAGTCTGATGGATGGAGACATAGTGTCAGTTTTAATATCCATAAACAACCTGGCTCAGATGGGAGAGCAAGAAGACCGGCCAACACTGTCTTTAATCAGAATTTAACCCATTCTCTCTCCCCTCCAAATTACAGGCCATCCCTGTAAAGAAAAGAAAGTTCCCCACTGGTCTCAGTGCATTTTGAAAAAGCACTAAAAAATCTGCCTTTGTTCTCAGTAGCCAGGATGAAAAGGAGATGATGAAGAGAGATGAATCTCAGATGAAGAGGAGACTAAATAAAATAACTTATTTCTCTTCCCACATGGAAGATTTGGCAAGCAATAGAAAGAATAAAACTAGAGCATTACTTTAGGGAAGTTCCCCAAAATTGAAAATGTGGAGCAACGTGTTTTCCCAGAAGACTAGGTTTAAGTAGGAAAAGATGATATAAGTAGACTTCCTCTAGTTCTGACCCCTGCGCCTCAGGTGTGCTCAAAAAACACGGCACAAATGCGTCACAACAATGCAGAAATGAAGTGTAAACCACAAATAAAATTCTAAGGCCCCCCAGTCATCTGAATGGACTTCCTACCCAGCCAGGGCTCTTTTAAAATTTAACCTGAGAGACAATCAGTTATCAACCAGAAAAATTTTAAATCTACCTTTAAGCTGGAACCTCTCCCCATTCCTGCCTCCAGTTGTCTGCCTTTCTGGCCAAAACCAATGTATCTCTTAACTGTGTTTGATTGAAGTCTCAAGTCTCATGTCTCCCTAAAATGTAGAAAACCAAGCTGCACCCTGACTACCTTGGGTACTGTTCTCACTACCTCCTGAGGGCTGTTTCATAGGCCATGGTCACTCATATTTGGCTTAGAATAAATGTCTTCAAATATTTTACATAGTTTGACTCTTCATCAACAGAAATTAATTCCATGTTCACTTTGTGCTCTCTGATCAAGTCTAAATATTCACTCTCTATTCTCATCTTGTCGTATGACCCAATGAAGCATCAAAGATTATGTAATAAATAACATAAAAATACTCAAATGATAAAGTCTCAAAACCAAGTGAGGGTCCCAACTTGATTATAAATCCACTTCAAGTTTTTAAAAAGTCCTTCCTTAAAATTAAAGTTTCTGTATGACGTCTCTATGCTATTTAAGTCAAATATCAAACAAATCACAGACTAAGAATCTGACATTAAAATTCAAAGAAAATTAAAACCTCAAATAAAATGTTTTGACTTTAATCTGTATAATTACAGAAGAGGGAACTCAGATTAAAGCTTTTGTTATTATTTATGTACTTAGGTAAAACAACCACACTAACAAACTGCAACTAATTCGTATCCTAAAGATACAATGAGGAATAACTGGGCCAGAATCTTGGAGAAGGCAGGAGCCTGGGGAGTGAGCACAGCAGTCACTGCCGTTAGGGGCATTTGCTGATCCCAGCTCAGCACTTAGGAAGCTGACTCACAGGTCAGGGGGGTAAAGGCAAAGACCAGAGCTTACTTAATGTGACCATTGAGGGACTTGAATAGAATCAATGAACTAGAAGGAAGCCTGTCCTCCAGGTGCTCCAGGATACCTTAAGCCTTGAATTCTGTTTCAGGGAGTCCTGGATTGTTTATGCATCCATGCCCTTTACAAAGCACAATAAAACTATCTCTGGAGAAAGATATATCCATCCTAGACCAGAAATTATTTCTACAACCATAGTGTCTGGCACGATGTCAAAAATAATCAGGTTTATAAGGAAAAATACAAACAAATGACTGAGAAGCAGTACACACACACAAATGTCCACAAAGACCACAGAGGTGAAAATAAGCAGGCAGACTGAAATAACTGAGTGTCCTATGCTCAACAAAATAAAAGATACACTCAAAAAATGTTATGAGGGAATGACTAACTATAAAAGATGACCTCATAGATTAGAAAAAGAACCAAATGAAAATTCTGGCAAGGAAGTGGAGGATGGTCATGGTCGCCCACCACCGGGCTGAGGTATTGTTAGCTAAGTAAATTGCAGAGAAGGAAGGGAGATGTGCAGTGAGTTCATGGCCATCAGTTAGGACTTGCAGTCAGGTGGATGGAAAGGGAAGTCAGGAGGGGCTGAGGGACAGTGACAGTCCTTCAGAAGATTCCCAGGAAATTGCATTTCCAAACATTCTAACCAATACTTCAGAATGATTTCTAGTACAAGAGAGTCTGGGCAGAAGCTAGGGTAGAGACTATAGGTGGACACACACAGTGCATTAACAGAGGGGGCAGCTGGACCAGGGGCAGTTAATTGCTTCTGAATTTCTTTCAGGAATACCTAATACACTTATGTATCAGTCTGTTTTCATGCTGCTGATAAAGACATATGTAAGACTGTGAAGAAAAATATGTTTAATTGGACTTACAGTTCCACATGGCTGGGGAGGCCTCAGAATCATGGCTGGAAACAAAAGGCACTTCTTACATGGTGGCGACAAGAGAAAATGAGGAAGAAGCAAATGTAGAAACCCCTGATAAACCCACGAGATCTCGTGAGACTTGTTCACTATCATGAGAATACTATGGGAAAGACCAGCCCCCATAATTCAATTTCATCCCCCTGGTCTCTCCCACAACACATGGGAATTCTGGAAGATACAATTCAAGTTGAGATTTGTGTGGGGACACAGTCAAACCACATCAGCTAAGGAGCTATTTTAATATATGAGGACAGACAAGTGGAGGTGTCCTCATCAGTCTCTGAACTAGCTGACCCAGCCCTATATAATGTTGGGATATGTTTGTTACATGGAAGAGGTAGAGAGCTCTGGAGTAGCAGAGTTCGTTTTGAGCTAATATTTTGGACTCGTTGCCAGGATATCCATTTGTGTGCATTTCTTGGAAATTTAAAGGGTGCTGAATGAAGTAGTTGAAATTATCAACATCATCATCATTAACATTACTGGTATTAACGTATTTCCCCAAAAACAGGGGAAAAAGATTTCCAAACACATAGTACCTGTTGAGATTTGGTTGCATAACACATCCAATGAGAGGTCTAGAGGAGGCTCCAGAGTCAGGGTATCACCAAGAATAAGATTCAAATCATTCATATGCCGACAACTGCAGAGGGAGAGCCTGCTGTTTGTCACTCACATACAATCATTATCTGTATTATTAAAATTTGTCACATATGTTTATTGACTGCATGTTTTTATTTTTCAAATTTATGTATTTTTTAATTTTAAAATATTGTTTCATTTTTAAAATAGAACCCCAGAAGTACCCCAGAAGACTAAGTCTGTGATAAGTCACTTTCAGTTTTGGTTTCTTGAACTCTCACCGAGAGGTGTTTCAAATTCTTTAGACATATTTTCAAATAACAAATGCAGTCTTCATGTTTTAAGAAATAGTTTATTTCCAGCCAGGTGCAATGGCTCATGCTTGTAATTCCAGCACTTTGGGACGCTGAGAAGGGCGAATCACTTGAGGTCAGGAGTTCGAAATCAACCTGGCCAACATAGCAAAATCCCGCCTCTACTAAAAATACAAAAATTAGCTGGGCATGGTGGCACATGTCTGTCATCCCAGCTACTGGGGAGGCTGAGGCAGGACAATCACTGGAACCCAGGAGGCAGAGGCTGCAGTGAGCCTAGATCGCACTGCTACACTCCAGCCTGGACAATGGAGCAAGACTCCATCTCAAAACCAAAAAGAAAAGAAAAGAAAAGAAAAGAAAAAGTTCATTTTTCAGAAGATTCCCAGGAAATTGCATTTCCAAACATTCTAACCAATACTTCAGAATGATTTCTAGTACAAGAGAGTCTGGGCAGAAGCTAGGGTAGAGACTATAGGTGGACACACACAGTGCATTAACAGAGGGGGCAGCTGGACCAGGGGCAGTTAATTGCTTCTGAAGTTCTTATCAGTCTGTTTTCATGCTGCTGATAAAGACATACCCAAGACTGTGAAGAAAAATATGTTTAATTGGACTTACAGTTCCACATGGCTGGGGAGGCCTCAGAATCATGGCTGGAAGCAAAAGACACTTCTTACATGGTGGCGACAAGAGAAAATGAGGAAGAAGCAAATGTGGAAACCCCTGATAAACCCATGAGATCTCATGAGACTTGTTCACTATCATGAGAATACTATGGGAAAGACCAGCCCCCATGATTCAATTACATCCCCCTGGTCTCTCCCACAACACATGGGAATTCTGGAAGGTACAATTCAAGTTGAGATTTGTATGGGGACACAGTCAAACCACATCAACTAAGGAGCTATTTTAATATATGAGGACAGACAAGTGGAGGTGTCCTCATCAGTCTCTGAACTAGCTGACCCAGCCCTATATAATGTTGGGATATGTTTGTTACATGGAAGAGGTAGAGAGCTCTGGAGTAGCAGAGTTCATTTGGAGCTAATATATTGGACTCATTACCAGGATATCCATTTGAGTGCATTTCTTGGAAATTTAAAGGGTGCTGAATGAAGTAGTTGAAATTATCAACATCATCATCATTAACATTACTCGTATTAACATATTTCCCCAAAAACAGGGGAAAAAGATTTCCAAACACATAGTACCTGTTGAGATTTGGTTGCATAACACATCCAATGAGAGATCTAGAGGAGGCTCCAGAGTCAGGGTATCACCAAGGATAAGATTCAAATCATTCATATGCTGACAACTGCAGAGGGAGAGTCTGCTGTTTGTCACTCACATACAATCATTATCTGTATTATTAAAATTTGTCACACATGTTTATTGACTACATGTTTTTATTTTTCAAATTTATGTATTTTTTAATTGATATAAAATATTGTTTCATTTTTAAAATAGAACAACTATTAGTACCCCAGAAGACTAAGTCTGTGGTAAGTCACTTTCAGTTTTGGTTTCTTGAACTCTCACCGAGAGGTGTTTCAAATTCCTTAGACATATTTTCAAATAACAAATGCAGTCTTCATGTTTTAAGAAATAGTTTATTTCCAGCCAGGTGCAATGGCTCATGCTTGTAATTCCAGCACTTTGGGACGCTGAGAAGGGCGAATCACTTGAGGTCAGGAGTTCGAAATCAGCCTGGCCAACATAGCAAAATCCCGCCTCTACTAAAAATACAAAAATTAGCTGGGCATGGTGGCACATGTCTGTCATCCCAGCTACTGGGGAGGCTGAGGCAGGACAATCACTGGAACCCAGGAGGCAGAGGCTGCAGTGAGCCTAGATCGCACTGCTACACTCCAGCCTGGGCAATGGAGCAAGACTCCATCTCAAAACCAAAAAGAAAAGAAAAGAAAAGAAAAGAAAAAGTTCATTTCCTCCCACTATATGAATCCTAGCTATATCTGAAAACTCGCTTCTTCCCTGGGAGGATGAGGAATAAGGAAAGGCCGCTGTGAGCTGATAGAGAGGAGAGAGCCCTGCAGTTTCGTGCACAGGAGGGAAGTGTCTCTGCACCGCTGTGTCTAAGCTGCTGGCACAGAGATACACGGCCGAGTCCCCAAGCTCTGCAGGCTGGATCTTGAGAGTGGAGTTTACTCCTTTGAGCCTCTCTGCAGAAAATCGATCCTTAGGCAACTGTGAATCATCTACTACATCGTTATTGCGAAATTGAACCAGAAGCTCCAGGCCCTGTCCCAGGATCTGCCGGTACCAGTAAAGGGTAGCATGGCCAGATACAGGATTGCACCAAAAAGTCACAGCCTGGCTTTTCTCTATAACCTTATATCTGGGGGACTGGACAACTCCAGCTTCTGTGAGTTCTGTGAAGGAAAAAGACAGAATTTGAAAATAGAAGGAAATGATTGAAATAATCACTGAGAGACCCAATGTGATCATGGTGTTCCTAGGACTCACCTGCTCCCAGAAGACAGAGGGCCACCCAGCAGAGGAGCCTGGTGCCCATGGCAGGCTCAGGGCAGGATAGGAGTTTTGCCCAATCAGGGTCACTGTGAGCAGGAGCAGAGGAGGAGGGACGTCCCTGTCCTCTCATGGCAGTTCCCACAGTGACATCATTGCCTCCACAAATGCCTACCTTCTTAGAAACCAATTATTATAAACTAAAACAGAGCACAAAGTTGCTTTACCATATTCACAGGCTGTGTAAGTTCAGCCAAGTGTCCTCACTCACATCTCTAGGGCTTCAGGATTGGATCTCCTACTCCATCTCTAGGCCCATCGTCTGCTGGATGTTTCGAGTTGAAGGCAACTCAAAACAGAGATATCAATTAGTGACCTTTTTGTCTTATCAGCAATTATCCTTCTCTTTGGGCATTTCTCTTTTACTAGGTTCTCTATCTTCCAGGTCCTATGCACTTAGAAGCTGGGGTAATTGACACGAGTTTATCCTAGAAGCTTGTTGAACTAGCTGACACGCTGTAAGCTAAAGGGATAAAATAATACGCTGGGCACAAAGTTGGAAGGGTTCATTTTTAGTGAAGGCCCATAAGCAGTTTCCTCTTTGCTGTTATCGTTCATGATGCATTGTGTACCAAGCCTTCATCATGGTTCTGCCCATAGTTTTGGGTCACCAATGTAATGAAAGTAAGTTCTCATTTTTTATCGAAGATGAGTGGGGAATTCTCTTATCCCTGAAAATATCAGTATATATTGTAAGAAATGCAAAATCAAACAGACTTGCTGAAATCTAAAAATAACCTTATAGCTACACCTCTGGTGTAAATTACAGTTGAACAGTAGTGGTCATTATCTGTTGTTTGTTTCTAATGGGGCAACATTAGTCACAAACACATTTTTATTCCTTGCCTGAGTAAAAGAAATAAAAGGAGTTAGGGGATGGCGCTCCTTAGAGTTGGCATAAGACAATAACACAAGGAGATGCATGTCCAGAGAGGTGAGAACGAAGATATATGTGTTCAGTGAGGTGCGCCCAGAGATATTCCGACAAACCGGTAAAACCTAGGGGACGCATGTCAAGGTTATCAGGTGAATACCTGTGGGTATAGAATTACCAGAGCCATCCACTTCTGTCATAAATCCTTTATTACTGAGGCCAAAAGCTGCTGGTTTGAGTCCAACTCATGTAGGCACCAAGCAATAATTGCATGATGGAAAATTTCTTCACATTAAGGGGTCACTACCTGCTCCATCTTTGTGACCAGGGTTATAGTTCTGGGTGACAACAGCATTCGGGGGATGGAGGCTGGTAGCTGGAAACAGGACTTATCTGTCTATCAAACCTATCAGTCACAGGACCCACATGTGGTGTGCTTGCGTGTGAGGCATGCCAAGTCTGGGGAGGACATTCCTCATTGCTCCCAGGCCTCATCTGCTTCCTGGGCAGCACAACTGAGAAATCCACGACAGAATTCTTGTCAAGGCAGGAACCGGTCATTGTGCTGCTCAGGGAAGAAAAGGCCAGAGCCCTGGGAAATCTGGTTTTTGTTAAGGATATCTGTAGTGTTACTACCCACAATTTGGAATAGCCTGTCTGGCATAAACTAGAATTGTCCACTCTCCTATATTTCCCTTACATCATCATATACATTGTCCAGGGCATGACTAGAATAGGTAAGGTGTAAGGTACAGGTGCTTTACTCACATTTCTCTGAATTCTCCTGAGGAGGCAGTTATTTTCCCTTTGCATGGGTCTCTGAGCGTTTAGGCTGGCTCCTGGTTCTTCTCCATCTACTTCCCAGGCAAGCCCAGAACAGTCTCCACTCGAAGATTTGCTACAATTCAGATTTTACTGCTGAGCAGAACATACCAGCGTCAATGAATATAAAGGTTTTTTTTTTTTTTTTTTAAATATCTCACATTTCACCGACTACTCACAACTTCTGCAAACAAGATACTGGATACTAGGATACACACTTTTCCTTTAAACTTAACATCTCAGGCAGCACTGAGCCCTGTTTCAAAAACATTTGAGCATCATCAAACCCCAGTGCCTTCTGATGGCCAATGGTTCAGTGTCACTGGACTCAGGTCCTTGGTCCATGGCTTAGAGATACTGGTGGGACTTCTATACTATCTTCAATAGAATCAGGGCTAATATAGGACAGTGTTTGTGAGAAACCAGGGAAATTTTTTCCCAGTTCTTTCTATTCTTACTGTCTTGCTAGAGCCTGTCCTATAGTTTAGGTATGGTTTGTTCCCACCAAAACTCATGCTGAAGCTTGTTCCTCAATGTAGCGATGTTGCTGCAGGCACATTGCTCACATTTCTCTGGGGTAGTGTGAGCCTTATGGGAGTTGAACCTTATAGGAGTTGTTTGGGTGATGGGGGTAGATCCCTCACCAAAGATGAATGCCAGGAGTCAGTTCTCTCTCTCCAGGATCTGGATTAGTTACCATAAAAGCAGGCTGTTATAAAGTGATGGTGTTGCTCATCCTGGCTCTCCCTGCACAGGCCTGCTCCTTCTTCCACTTCTCTTCCATATTATGACACAGCACAAAGCCCTCAAAAGAAGTCCAGCAGATGTTGATGCCCTATTGGCCTTTCCAGCCTCCAGAATTGCAAGCCAAATAAAGCCCTTTTCCTTATAAATTTCTTTATACATTTTCCCAGCCTCAGGTATTCTGCTATAGCAGCAGAGGACAAATTAAGACAGCCTCTCTCCTTGTTGCACAAATAAATATTGTCCAGCCTTAACTCTGGAAAATCACTACTCTTCTCTTTACATTCAGTCACCTTTGAAAGTTCTTGAGTTTTCAGCCAAACTGTAGAATACTCAGAATCGGTTGACACAGAGGAAATAGTCCTGTGTATTTGCTAAAAGTCCTCTTGACATGCATTAGTAGCTAAGTTTTGCACTGGCCTCAGAGATACCAAGCTGCTTTGTCCTCACACTGCAAATTCTCTTGTCTTCTTTTGGGACTTTCTTAAAAATCATAGCCTGTTTCCTATAAAAAAAAAGTATACTCTAGACTAAAAGATACCTTATTTTATATATTTATTTTATGGTAATGACATAATATTTCAAAGATATTGAAAATGAATATAAGAAATACCCAACAATGTTATCATTCTGAAATAACAACAACATTTTATTTTGGTCTGCTAATATTTTTCTTCAATTTTTTTTAAACTGAGAATCTACGGAAAAGGTGAGAGAATAATGAAACAAACAGAATATTAAAATATACGTCTGTGTGCCGATTGTACATTTTGTGACTTTTGCTTTATCTCTCTATACATATATTGCCCTCAATTTCTGAAGCATTTTATCCTTAATACTAAAATGGGTCTCCTAAAAAATTGGCATTATCTTATATAACCACAAATGTCACTGTTACACTCAAAACGTTAGCATTCATATAGCATTGTCATCTAGTACATGCTTCACACTCAAATTTCTCTGTTTGTCTCAACATGTCCCTTGGTTTTGATTCACTTTTCCTCTAGAACAAAATCAAAGATCGTGTATTTCACGAGGTTATCGGTTCTCCTTAGTTACTTTTAAATTATACATCTCTTCCATCTACTTGTTATATTTTCTGTTTTTCATGATTATAAGTTTTTGAAGTGTCCAGGTCAGCTTAGTTGTAAAATGGCCCACAACAAGAATTTCTATACTATTGGAGGCTAATTACTTGGCAAATATACACCATAGATGATGTGTATTTCCTATTGCATCTGGTCAATCACAAGAATGTGGAATGTCATTTTTATGCTGTTTTGTCAATGCATATTTGAGGTAACTGACACCAGATCTCTTCATTTTTAATATGTCTTTTACCTTCTGTAACTGAGTAGTAATCCGTGGAGTGATGCATTGGGAAAATGTACATATCTTGTTCCAGTCCCAAAAGCATATAAAAAACATGGTTGAAAATTCCTTCAATCTGGATAAAGTCAGCAATATCCAGGTACGGAAAGCTCAGAGGTTGCCAGTTAAATTCAACCCAAAAGGAGTTCCCTAAGTCACAACATGTATTAGCTCATTTTCACGCTGCTGATAAAGACATACCAGAGACTGAGAAGAAAAAGAGGCTTAATGGACTTATAGTTCCACATGGCTGGGGAATCCTCACAATCACGGCAGAAAACAAGGAGGGGCAAGTCATGTCTTACTTGGAGGGCAACAGGAAAAGAGAGAGCTTGTGCAGGGAAACCCCCTTTTTCAAACCATCGTATCTAAATGAGACTCATTTAGTATCATGAGACAGCAGGAAAGACCCGCCCCCATAATTCAATCACCTCCCACAGGGTTCCTCCCACAACACGTGGGAATTGTGGGAGTTACAATTCAAGATGAGATTTGGGTTGGGACACAGTCAAACCATATCACAATGTAATCAAATTATCAAACATCAAAGGCAAAGAATACTGAAAGCAGCAAGCAATAAGAAACATCACATTCAAGGGATCCCCAATACAGCCTTCAGCAGATTTCTCAGCAGAAACCCAACAGGGCAGGAGAGTAGAGTCGTACAATTCAAAGTGATGAAGTTAAAAAAAAAAAACAACTGGTAGTTCTGGCATCTACTGACGGTCTTTGTCTATAATTATGTTGATAGTTACATTGACTCTCCATTTAGATATATCAACTAACATTATATGATAATGAAAAGATGCTCACCTAAAAATTCTTATTATTATAGCCCCATAGAGTTTTAAAACTTTGATTTCTGTCAAAAGATGTTCTAGCACTTTCCCTGCCCCAGTTATGAAAGAAATCATTTATGCTTTGTTCCTTTCAGGAGGAATAACATTTAGAAATAAAATACTGTGCCTATTGCTATTGGGAATACAAACAAAGAACAGATAAAGCAATTAGTCAATTTACTTTGTATTGTTTCTTAGACTTTTCCTTAGATAGAGAAGTACTGCACTAAAAACACTACCAACTACAAACCTCCCGAATGAAGTTCAAACTCAATTTCTTTTAGCATTGTCACAGTACACCAACATAATTCTAAAGTCAAGAAAGACCCCAACAAAACCAATCAGACAAAAAAAAGTACCTCCAAAGAAGGTGTGCAAATTTCTTATAGGC